TCCCTACATCCAGAGCCTGAAGAGGTGATAAGTGGACACACTATACAGAAGCAGCTCATTGAGAAAAAATTTAGAGGCATGACTGAGAAGTAAGGAGATGCAAAGGGAGGGGAGGCCTCAGGTCTAAGGGGAGAGGTCCGGGGGCCAGACCGGTGGGCCGCCGTGGGAAAGGGGCATTGCCCGCCTCTCTGGAAGGGCGGTAGAGCCCTAAGGCTTATGTAGAGCCTGTGGGTGGGATGTGGAGGCCTTGAGTGGCTTCTGCTCACTCAGAGTCACCTGGTACCACCAAGAGAATCCCACCAGCAGCACCTGAAGGGCCACGAGAGCCCCTCTGAGGCCGAGGCTGCAGGAGCAGGGGTTCTGCTCATCTTTTTGCTCCAGAAGCATCCCTGATCCTTGCTCTGGGCCGGGTTCTGCGAGGACTCCAGAGGCCCAAAGCGGACACAGACTAGCACCTGCCCGTGAGGGCCCCCCTCTAAAGACCTTGGCGGCGCCACGTAGAGTGGGTGGACTCCAGCTGGCTTCAGGGATGGGGAGGGTGGGTTGGGAAACAGCTTGGTAAAGGCCTGGGAGGCAGATGTCAACGTGAGTGGCCGGCTGGGCCAGGACAGCTGGGGACTTGTGGCTGTGCTCATGGCCAGGGGTCCTTGGCACAGACTCCTGCGCCCTGGCTCTCAGGCCTGGCTCCCCAGAGAACCAGCCTGACTGCTGGCACCTTCCAGGCTCTTCTTGGCCACCGATAGAGCTTGAGCACCAAGCCCTCCATGATCACGGCCCCGCCCCACACCTCCAGCACGTCCTGGCTTTACGCACAGCACAGCACATACTTCTCCACCTTCAGGCCTTTGCCCACACTGTTCTCTCCGCCTGGAATGTTCTCTGGCTGCCAACACCAGGCTCAGGTGATCAAGAGCTGGAAAAGCTGAGATCCAATCCTGCTCGTTTCATCTCCCGGCCGCCCTCCCAGCTGCCCTCCACCCTCCACGTTCCAGATGCTGGTACCGTGGCCTGGGCTCCTCTGTGACGCTTTCCCTGGGGGTTTCTTGGCCTCCAAACTCTTCTCCGCTGGCCCGCCTCCACCTGCACTGAGAGTGGTCTTTGTTTTTGTTGTTTAGTTTGTTTGAATCTTTTTTGTCTTCCTTCCTTTTTCTTTTTAATGATTTAGAGACTGATCTTTGTTAAAAGTAGTTTTGGCTTTCCCTGCCTTCCCCGAGTTTACAGCCCTACAAGGCCTGCTGTCTCCCTTAGCTTAAGGTCCGGGCGCCCTGCTTTGACCTCCCCTGGATGTCTCCACCTTGAATTCAGCCGTCCCAAGGCGCACCCCGGCCCCCAGTACACTCCCTGCTGCTCACAGACCTTGGCGCACCAGAAACCCGGTCTGAGCTCAGCAAACCCTCAAGTGTCTTTCAAGCTCAGCTCAGTGACGCTTCCTCCAGAAGCCTTTCCTGATTCCCCAGTACTTGGGTGAGGTTTTCCTCCTATGGGCCCCTCAATGCCCTCTGTTTATACTTATCACAAGTGTGAACACCCTTGGTTTGCTTTCCTGGCTCTGCCACAGAGTGAGCTTCTTAAGGGCAGGGGCTGTTTCTTATTTGTTTCTATGTCCTCGGAGCACCGTGCAGTGTTCATTGATTTCAGGGTTATGTGGCTGGATTGATAAGACAGGCTGGCAGTGAAGGAGTTAATGAATGGGTAGTGGGTGGGGCTGGGGGTTTAGGTGGAAGGCTGACTGTGAAGGGGTGGGGACGGGCCCGGGAAAGAGCAGGTGGATGGAGGGGTAGGTGAGTGAGGGAAAGGGCGGGGCGGCCCCATGGGTGAGGAATGGCTAGATAGGCGGGCGGGGATGCGAGTAGGTGGTTGAGTGGGTGCAGGAGTTGAGTGGGTGCAGGAGTCAGCATGGGGTAGCTTGGACGCATGGAGGTATGGGCGGTTTGGAGGTAAACAGTTTAATTGTCAGAACCCTCTGTGGTACCGGCAGCTGGTGGCAGCAGGGTGGCAGCAGGGGCGCAGATATGTGGAAAAGGAAATATACCATGGAGGGCCACACACAGAGAAGTGGCGCCTGTGGCTAGAAATGGAGGCATGGGGTGCTGTGAGTTGGGGGAGAAGGGGGCTCTGGGGGCTGAGATGGCCTAGCTTTGCCTCCCCACCCTGCCTCTCCCCCCGCCCTCAGGCAGCGGGAGCTCCTGTTCCACTTCTTGCAGCTGGTGTCCGGGGTGGAGCATTACCAGCAGAAATTCCGCTCCCAGGCAGCTGTCATCGATGAGATTGTGGACACCGCGTTTGAGGTGAACCAGGCAGGACCTGGGAGGAGCCAGATGGAAGGGGAGGGCACGGGGAGGCCGGGCCTCGGGGGCTTTGCCTGGAAGCCGCCCTGAGTAACAGTGGTGTGGGCCTCCGGGAGGCAGAGGGCTGGCGCCATCTCCTGCCACCCCACCCCACAGGCTGGAGAAGAGGACTTCAGGAAGTGATCCCCAGAGTGGCAGCCCGAGTCCAGGCTTCAGCCTCTGGCAGGCTCTCCCCCGGGTCGGGCCAAGTCCCCATCTCTGCTGGAAAGATCACTGGGCCTGCAGGGCTGGGCCCCAATAGAGCTTTAAAACCCCAGGTGGCTCCATGTCCTTCCTGGCTGGGCCGAGCCACAAGGGAACCTGTGGGCCTGCACGCATATGCATCCTCGAGCACGTGTGTGCGAGTGTTTCAGGTGAAAGGCTCTGTCCTTTGATCCCTCCCTGCCCCACTGGGGCCTGGCATCCTGGCCTGGCAGGGCCTTAACAGCAGCCAGTGGGGTGACGTGGAAAGTGGGCCAGGCTCAGTGCTGGAGGGAGAGGGAGCAGTCACCCTGCTTTGGGGAGGGAGGCCCGTCTGGCCCAGGAGACAGGAGAAAAAGAACAGGACGGTTGTCAGGGCCCGAGGGACCAGGATGCTCCAGAAATGAGGTCTCAGAGCCCAGGCCTACCGGCACCGTCAGCATCCAGCAGAAGGGTGCCAACTCGATGAGGACAGCCTGAGCTCAGAAGGCAGAGGTCATCGCCATACCCTGCCCTGCCTGGGGTCAGGCTAAAGAGCCTCAGTGAGGGGAGGGAGGGTGGAGGCTGCTCAAGTCCTTGTGGCCTCGGGGTGGGGGGCCGGGTGTGTGTGGAGTGGACAAGCCTCTGTTAGAGGGAAGCAAGGGATGAGTTCCCCTGCTTTCAGCCTGAGCCTGGGCAGGATGCCCAAGAAGGCAGCGGGGCACAGAGCACTAAGTCAAGCCCAGCCAGAGGGAGGGAGGCCTCCCACCAGATGGGGAGTGAAGCTAGCAGAGTGAAGCTGGAGGGGATGAGGACAGAACCCGCAAGTGGGAGCTGAGAGGTGACAGACAGTTTTGCCAGCCACCCCCCTACCTCCAGTGCGGACCAGACAGTGGTGACGTCTCCGGGCCCCTGGACAGAAGCAGTGCGTCTCCTCCCTGGCCCGGCCGAGGGTGTGGGGTGGCCCAGGGCCCGGGCATCGACTGTGCGGAGGAAATGCCATCTGGGATTTGGGCACAGATTCCAGGGGTGGAGAGGCCACCCGGCCTCACCTCACCCCACCACCTCACACACTGATTCAACAAGCATTTCCTGCCACTTCTCACCCCGTGGCAGCCACTCAGGAGGCTCCTGCTGGGTGGCACATGGGAGCTCTTCCAGCGGCTGCCCCACCGCAGGCCCCCGGGCTGTCTGCGCGGCCATATCCGACAGGCTTGAGCCACTAGGAGGCTGGAAGTTTTCCCTCCATCCCTCATTCCTGTCACACTCAGCCCCTCAAGCTTCCAGGTGGGAATCAGTTCATTTGCCATCTCCCCATCCCCACCCCATACGGCCTCCCAGGGCTCTAGAGGGCAGGGCCTGGGAGCTGGGGCTGTTCCTCATTAAGTGCCAGCATCGGCAGGGAGCCAGGCAGGCATGAGCAGGCACGAGGACTGACCAGCCAGGCCACAGGGTGCTCTCCACAGCCACCCTGTCCAGCCGCCCAGGCCTAGGGGTGCCCACACCTTGTGCTCCCACAGGATCTGCTTCCTGCCCATCCTGTCTCAGGCATGGGTGTGTGTCTGTGCATCTGAGGAACAGCTCCGGCTGGGGCAGGTGTGTACCTGGGGCTGTGTGTTTTGGGGTGTATTCTCCAGGTTATCCTCGGGATGGGGGTGTTGCTTCTGTGTGTGTGTCTGTATTTCCGGTTTGCTAGGTTATGTGTGTCTTTTTCTGGATATATGTGTGGTGTCTGGGAGCAATCTGAGGGTGCATGGTGGGTTTATGTGTGTTTCTGGTGTCTTGCGAAGTTCTGGATGTGTGCGTGTGCATGTGTAGTGAGCGTTAATTCCAGCCACAAATTCAGGTGAGCAAAAAATGTTCCATCTCTTCTTTAAATGACATTGAATTGCATCTGTCCCCTTATCCCTCCTACAGACAGTGGATTTGACCTCGGTCCCCTTGGCGCTCCCTGCCAGCCCCTTGCAGGTGTCTTGCTCAGGACAAAGCACTGGGGAGTCCTTCCGGCATGTGGTCCACAGGGTCCACCCTTCATGGTCTCTTGGCCTGCAGGGGCTCTGCCATGTCTGGGCCACATGCTGGTATAAGAATCTCACAGGCTGAGAGCTCAGTGCACTGGGGCCAGGCTGGCTAAAACTTCCACGCGCCACTCTGAGTCGTCCTGGCAACTGAGAGGAAGCAGAACTCAAGTGCGGCTCAGAGCCTTCACTGGCTCCCGTCCCCTTCCAGTCTTGGGGCATCATCCCTCTCCTGTGACTTTGTCTCCGAACCCATAACTCTGCCAATATCGGGAGTCTCAGAGGTTCATTCCTCTAGGTCTGTGATGCTGGGGTGTTCGGAGGACCCCAAACTTGGGAGCTGAACTTTGCACCCTTAGCACCGTCTGGGCTGAGACAACAGAAGCTCAGCTGTGGGTGGTGCGGGCGCCCTGCCAGCTGGAGGGGGTGTTGGGAGCTGCCGAGAGTGGGACTGGGGAACAGGAGAGGGAGGAAGAGTGAGGCACTCAGAAGAGACCAATGCAAGAAGCAGTGCTAGCAATTTATTGCCACACATAGGGTCCAGGAACTTGACATGCCCTCCACCGATGTGCTCGCTCCTGCCCAGACCCGCCCGCTCCCTCCCTCCCCCAAGCCCACAGGGGTCTACTACAGGGTCACACAGTCATGCTTTAGAAGTTGGAAGGAGTTCTGCCAGGGAACCGTAAGGATCTCAAAGTCACAGCGCAGCTTCTGCAAATAGATCATGAGGAAAGAAGGAGGGGTGAGCCCAGGCCCCAGGCCGCCTGCTGCTAACAGTCAGCTCTGTGCCTGCAGTGCTCCGGGATGCAAGAAGGAACATCAAGTTAGATGCCCAGGACCAGAGCCCAGATCTTTCCAGCCCAGCCCCTCACTCCAGGGGAAGCCCCAGTCTGCTCCTCTCTGCACCCTCACACTGGTCTCAAGGCTGAGTCATCCAGAAGGCTCAGGTCCAGCCAGACGTCAGCTTGGCCACAGCCAGACCAATTCAAGCCGTACAACCTGAGGGCCTGGCTGCTGGCCACCGGGTGAGCTGATGCCTGGCTGGGGGCAGCGCTGTTACCTCCTGCTGCACCCCTGCGGCCAGGGGGCAGGCGGTGAGGTCTATGTGGTCTCTAGCCATGGCATTCTTCCGGCAGGCCGTGCTCCCCATCTCCACGGTCAGGTAGTACTTGATGCCCGCCACCAACTGAGGCAGAGGTGGGGGCAGGTCAGGGGTGCCGGGGGACAACCTTTGACCTGGACCTCTCACTTCCCTCCGTTTGCTCCCATCTGCCATTACCTTCCCTAGGACATATCCAGCACACTGCCTTTGGGATTCAGGTCTGGGAGGGGGGAGAGGAAGGGCGGGGAGGGGGCGGCAGGCAGTTCTAGTGGGGAGCCCTGGGGAGAGGGGCAGAGCCTGGGCCACGCAGGAGGTTGAGCCCCAAGTCCACACAACTGCCCCATCTCCCTCACCCCCCTCCCCAACTCACCCATCCCGGGAGGGACTAGTGTGAGGCTAGTGAGGTAGCCATGCGAATTCAGGGTTGAATCTTATTCGAAATTTAGATATTCTGTTCCGCAAGAAGTTCTGGCATGAATTGGATTTTGAAAAATATGTTGTATTAAAATGCCATGCTGATTATTCTTGTGTCGCCCCCTCCATCTGCGGCCCGGCTAGGGCCACGCTCGTCTCCCACGGCCCCGCCCCGCCCCGCCGGCCGGGCGCACCTGGCTCTGCGCCCGGAGGATGGTGGTGTCGCGGAAGTAGTAGATGCTGTTGCTGCCCATGTTGTAGCTGGTCATGGCCGCCTGCGTCGCCTTCCGCACCTGCGGGTCGCTGGGCGACAGGTCCTGCCGCTCTCCGACCTCGCGATCCCCCGGCCGGGCCCGGGAGTCGCGGGGCAGCGCCAGGAGGCAGAGCGCGAGCAGGGCCAGGCCCAGCGGCAGCAGGAGGCTCGGACGCGCCATGGTTGCCGGCGTCGGTGTCCAGCCGCGGGCCCGCGCCGCTTTTACGGGCTGCGCGGCCCCGCCCGGCCCCGCCCGCCGCGTGCCTCCACCGGCGGGGAGGGATCGCCGGGCCTGGGCGAGGCCGCCTTCCGGGCGCCGAGGGGGACAGCGGACAGCCCCGAGCACACCTGTGTATCACGACGCTGCGTGCCCTCCAGGCACACCTAGTCCGGTGAGGGAAAGGGCAAGGACAGCTCCCAGCAACAAGTGCCACCAGTGGGACAGTTCACAGAGGCCCATCACGTGTGAAATACCAACAGCAGCTACCAGCAAGCTCTTAACTGTCTCCACTGTGTAGCCTTGGAGAAGTTACTTAACTCTCACGGCCTCAATTTCCTCCTCTGTGAAACGGGTTGCTGTGAGGATTCAATAAGTAAAGGGCTTAGGGGAGGCCAGGAGCTGTATAAACAGCAGGTAAGTAGATGTTACTGCGCCGAGTGGGGCACTGTTTAACCCTCACAACCAGCATGATGTGATCAGTAATGTTTCCACTTTACAGAGGAGTAAACAGGAGAAGGAGGGAACAACTGATTTTGCCCAAGGACACCGACTGGTAAAGAGTAAACGCTGACGCTGGCTTTTGAGCCCCGGCAGAGTCTAACCCAAATCTCTGCTCTCAAGCCCGACTGAACCCAGAGAATGAGAACTGGCCAGAAGGAGGTGTGTGGGTGGTCCCAGCTCTGCCATTTACTGCCAGGGGGGTTTCCAGCAAGTCCCTGGACCTCTGGGAGCCTCAGTGCCCTCATCTGAAGAAATGTGACAACTCTTGTCTTCGAAGGTTGTGCTGACAATAATGGCCTGAGACTGGGTCACCCACAGGTAAACTGGGCCTGTGCTGGAGGTACCAGCAATATAGGTCTATGATGTTTTTTGTAATAATCTGACAATTAATCTATAAAAAACAGCATTGAAGTAGTCAACACGGGAAAAGTCTGGCTTTTGTTGGAATTTTTTAGAATTAGTATTTTAGAGTTCAGGGTCGTTTGTACTTTTAATCACTTGTTGCCAGGGGGAGGTGGGGCTTTTTGCTCCTGGAACACAAAGATCTTATTAGTGCTTAGGGCTTCCAAGGATCTTACCTGGGGTTTGGGACAGGCTGTGGTTTTCAGTACCCAACAAAGTGTTGGTGCTTAAAAGTGTTGGTGCTTAATAAGTGGTAGCTATGATTGTGATGAATATTATGAGAAAGCAACCAGCCCCCCCCCCCCCCCCCCGGCACTCCCGCCAATTCTCGGCCTCTCAGAATCCCAGGGCCAGGAAAGGCACTGATTTCTCCCAGGGAGACCAGGACCAGTGTGATCACTGCCCAGTCCAGCTACTACCCCACCCCCTCAGCCCAGCTGTGAAAAACAACCTTTGGATGCCAAGGGACAGTCTCAAGTTTGTTGTGGGCTCAGGTGTCTGCCTTAAAGGGACAGACCCATTTGTGTGAGAGCTGGCAAGAGCTTGGCTTGATGAGGAGGCCAAGGTCAGGCAGGAGCCCAACCTGAGAGAAGCTGGGAGTGGGGGAGTAAGAGGCCCAAGTCCGCAGCCCAGGGGAGAGATGGAGAGGTAGCCCCAGGGGGCCAGGAGTCTCCTTGGGTTCTCCTGGATCTGCTCTCCTGTTACTTGGAACTCAGCTGTGGCCACACTTAAACTCCAACAGCTCCCTGGGAAATAAGCCAAGGCCCAGTCTCTGACTCACCAAGGGCCAGTGGGCCCCCAGCTCACTTGCCCCTACTCTACCTGTTATTCCTTTGTGCCGACACCAGCAAATCTTTTGCATGCCAACCTAACAATTTTCAAAGACTTTTCACCCACTGGTCTGTTCTCGTAAGCACCCTGAATAAGCATCATCCTCATTTTGCAGATGAAGAAAGTTAATCAGAGAGGTCAGGACACTTGTCTAAGGTCACTCATTCAACTAGAAGTGGTGTCCTGGTGAGAAAAGAGGGATGGGGAAGGGAAATTAACAATTATCGGGCTCCTGATATGAGCCGGGCCTTGCACCAGGGACTCAACATATGTTCTCTCATCCTCATAACAGCTCTGCAAAACCAGTGATTATTACTTCTTTTTATAAGGAGGAAATGCAGGGTCAAAGGGGAAGTGTCAGGGGTGGGGGCTGGGGGGCAACCATGTGCCAGCATCCTAGTGTGTGAGCTCTGGACCACTCCACAGGGATATGAGGTCTGCTGTGCAGAGGGAGGCTCCCTGGGGGTGCGGGTGCCCCGGGAAGGGTTTTCCCAGGGCTGGGTCTCATCTGGAAAAGAGTCTTAGCCTGGACTCCATTCATGCTTAGTCTGGACCACTCTGGCTTCCAGGAGGCCTGGGCCGTTTGAGCTTGGATGGGCCATCCCCACTGGCCACAGGACACAGCTTTCAGTTTTGCTGTGACCCAGACATCCCAACCCGGCTTGCCCACGGCACCCCTCTCTTGTCCTGGCTGATGGGTCTTGCTGACCAGGGTGGGCCCTCGATATCCCCTTCACCCCAGGATCATGTCACCCCGGGCCTTCACGTGACTCCCAGAACCCTCTTCCTTGAACCTTGAGCTGGGCCGCAGTTATTCCCTGCCCAGGGCTCGTCTCCCCTTTCCTGATGGATCACGTCCTGGAAAAGGGGCTGTGTGGCAAGGAAAGCTGCGATCCGACCGTGATTAAAGCTGCCCTCTGGGGAGAAGCTCTCCCAAGTGCCCTGGGTTTTGCGTTCATTAGCTGGTTGAATCTTCACAAACCTGCACCAGCTGACAGAGGAGGAGACTGAGGCTCAGAGCAGTGAAGCAACTTGTTCCAGGTCGCATGGAAGGAACTGAGCACAGAGCCAGGCCTGGCGGGCTCTTTCAAGCTACCATCCTTCAAGGCCAGAAGTGACAGTAGCGAGAGCCCTGGGTGCCTGCAGGGAGGAGGCAACACGGAAGGGGCCTGCACGTACTTCACACCTGCTGGGCTGCCACTGGGGCAGGTGGCGAGGTCAGTCTTGGGTTTGGGTTTGCCCTGTAGCCTCTCCCTACTTCCTCCCCAGGGGCAGCAGGACCCCTTCAGGACCCCGGAGTTCACAGGTTGGGTCCACCTCAAGCTTTGGGGCAGATCTGAGAACTTGTGATAGACTGGCTCAGGGCGTCAAGCTCTGGCTCGGGTGCAGCAGGGAGGGGGAAAACCGGGTCAATATTTGCTGACTTCCAGGCCAACCCATGTCTCCGGCCAGGCACATCCTGTCAGGCAATGTGGGCTGACATCTAGATAACCCACCTCCTACCCATCCCCACCCAGGTCTGCTTTCTCCAACGTTCCAGGCCTCGTTCCCTTTGTCCTGCTGGCCGAGGTGGGGCTGGGTCTCTGAGAGGCTGCTGTCACAAGGAACATTCCAGATGCCACTGGTCTCCTACAGCTCCAGGACTGATGCGGGAAGTTGGGTGCGACGCACGAAGAAGACCAGATTGAGGGTTCGGGGCCCACCAACCTGTCACAGATACTGCCTGGGCCCGAGGCTGAGGTGAAAAGGCAGGCTTCAGCCCCTTCACAGACAAAGCCTGTGCATGAGGCAGGGAAGCCTGTCCCACAGGGCTCCGCTGGGTGGCCCCCAGCAACCAGAAGGGACAGGAGCCACAGGAAGGGTGTCGTGGAAGAGGAGGGAGTCTCCATTACCTCACAGAGTGCCAGTAACCATGTGGCAGTACCAAGGCTGAGCAGGGAGAGGCCGTGGCCCTGCCCAGCCCCTGCCTAAGCACACCAGGCCTGTGTGACAGCATCACAGCACATGGGTCAAGGCTGAGGGGACTCCAAGGTGACCCTGGACCCAACGAGAGTAACATCAGAAACACAGTATGGCCTGAAACTCCAGGGACAGCCCACATTACCACCTCAGTCTGGTCTTCAGACGGGCACCCTCCCAGGCAGCAGCCTGTTAACACAAGCTGGGCCCAGGTCCGGCTACCTGGTGACCTTCCAGGGGGGCTTCTCACACTTCCCAGACCCAGACTTGCACTGAACCTTCATCTCTACTAATAACCATCATACTTTCTGAGTAATCACCTAATTGCTCTATCCTCAGGTCTTTTTGGTTTCCCCTTTATCTTTCTTCTACTGTTCTGAGACATAGCTAATGTGCAGAGAGGTACACAGAATGTATCCGATCACCACCACACAGGCCAAAGAATGGAAACTGCCACTCCCGGCCCCAAGTGCTCCCAGGCATTACACCTGCCTCCCTCCCCCAAAGGCAATCACTCCCAACTTCTTTTTCTTTACCATCCACTTTTGCAATAGGCATTTTTTTTTCCCTCTAGTTTTACCACCCACAGAGACCCCTACATAGGGATCCAGCTGGGGGCCCTTATATACAAAGCTGCTGTGAACAGTCGCTCAAGTGCTGGTACAGGTGTGCGTGTCCTCAGTCACAACCCTGGGAGCGGAATTGCTGGCTCACAGGGTGGGTCTTCAGTTTTACTGGCAAACACCCTTTTCCCCAACTGTTCATACCAATTTACGCTCCCATCAGCTGTGTATCTGTTCCTGTTGCTCCACTTCCTCATCGGCACTTGGTATCGTCTGACTTACAAATATATGTGAGCGTATAATGGCATCGTGTTTGCATTTCTGACTACGAATGTGATTGAACACCTTCTAACAGGCTTATTCACCACTTGGGTATTCCTCTGTGGCTGCCTTCCACGTCTTTTACCCATTATCCTGTTGTGTTGTCTGCTTTTTCTTGACTGCAGCTCTGAACTTGCTCTAGAGAGTCCTTTGTTGTCGACGTGTGTTGCAAATATTTCCAACCGTGGGTTAGGCTCCTCACTCGCTTTATGGTACCTTTAGATGACGAAAGTTTCTATAATGGAGTTGAATTTATCAACTTTTTCTTAATCTTTCCCT